TTTAGACACCTCTCTGGGACATTCTAACAGTCAGGAGAGGAGGGGAAACCCGAGCAAGCTCTCAGAGCTTGAGCTCTGGCCCTGCTGCATGCTCAGTCAGCCGAATCACTGACTTCTGCAGACTTCCTCAGTCCGCCACTGTGTGAGGCGAGGAGAGTGAGGGGCACTTACGCACCGGGCGGTTGTGAGAACCCCATAAGCGGTCTGCCTAAGCCTGTTCGGCAGTCAGTCATGTAACATTCTTGGGATTCGGGGAGTGTCGATTTGTTGCTATTATTCCAAATGCAGTTTCTTACGAAAGCGACTTAAGAAAGAAAAAAGGTAACCTGTACGTCACTTACAGCAGTGTCTTTTCTTCTCCCTTAAGTAGGAATCTCAGGATGCTGGGGTCAGGGTGGCTCTGCCCCATTCTTTTTATTTATTTATGTATTTGGTGCCGAAACCCAGGAACGGCTGCTGCACTTCAGAGATGAAACTGCTGAGGGGCAGGTTGAATTTGGACCTCCCGTGGGGGCGGGGTGGGCGTGGCTGGTGGCTGCCCTGGGTGACCACAGCAGTGGGCTGGGCTGGTCACAGCCCCACCCCCGGCTCGGGGTGGTGTTTCTCAGAATCCCAGGAGACACCTCTGGGCAGAGATGGTGATGCTGGTCTCCAAGAGGGCCCTGGGCGTGGGAGAGGAAGCACTGCCGCACCTGCTCTGCATCCAGGGAGCACGACCTCCTGTGTTTCCCCTCACTTCTCCACTGGTGGCTTGACTGGGCCATAAGCTCCCCCAAAGCACGTCTGCTGAGATGGCCCCCGTCCAGCCAGCACCCTGCCTGCGTATTCAGTCGTTTGTTCATGTGACAGTTACCTGTTGAGCACCTGCTGTGTGCCATGTGCTGTGGCTGGCTCTCGGGTGCAGAGCTGAACACCATAGACATGGTACCCAATCTCATGGAGCGTTCATTCCCACAAGGAAGATGGACAGTTAAACCATCAAGAGTTATCTGAGCAAAAGTGTCCAGGGGTCTTTGGGGACATTCTCATCTAACTTGGTGCGAGGCTCTGGGTGGCCTCTTGCCACCTCGAGGCCTTATGGAGAGCAGAGCTGGGTGGATGCCCGGGTGAGGGGCCCAAACCCATCCAGAGGCAGGGGCAGGAGTGAACTCTCAGCCCGCGGCGAACTGACCGGAGGATGTACCGTGGGTGTGATGAGGAGCGTGCCCTTGACCTTCAGTACAGGAGGGCAGGTGGCATCTGTTTGTGCCATGGGTCAGCCTGCAAGTCTCTGCTGCGGACGCAGGCCTGGGTGCAGCCGGCGGGGGCCACGCCAGCAGCCGCTGGCTCTTGTGGTGTCCAGCCTTCCTGCCAAGAGGCCTCTTTGATTCACATTTTCCACAAGGACTGGATGTTTTGGAAATGTTGACCTGCAGCTAATCAAATGTCACTTATTAAATTGCAAGTCATATCCTTTTCAATTTACAGAAAGGACAATGGTTTGATGACTTAGTTCATGGCCTGCAAGCAGGAGGGAACTTGATAGCCCTTGAGACCAGAGAACAAACAGGTGCCTGATCCGTGACCCCCAACCCCTGTCCCTAGGTTCCCCAGGGGGTGGCAGCATCTTCTCTGCGAGAAACCGGGCTGAGACTGAGGCTGGGGTCACAGCCAGGCTGGAGAACGTGTGAAAAGGCTGGAATGCCAGGTCTGGGTGGGTGAACTTGAGCCTCACTCGCAAGGAGCAGAGAATCCCCTTAGAAAGGTGAAGTCAGTTCATATGGGCTGGAGAGGAGTCAGTGCCACATAGGCAACAGCACGTGACTAGGAGAGAACACGAAAGGCAGGATGTGCACAGGCGGGGAATGGGTGGGTGGAGGCATCCTGGAGGAGGGACCCTCGAGAGAAGAGTCAGGTCAGGATCAGGGGAGGGGCTCTGCGGCCTGGTGAGACTGGGAGGCAGGGGTAGCAGTATGGGAAAGGGCAAGGGCTACAGCGGGGAGGGGAGGCGGGCCTGGTGTGTGGACCATGCAGAGGACCCTGGCATGGGGGTTTGTGTCTGCTGCATCAGGCACTGGGGAGCCTTGGCAGGCTCTTGAGCAGGGGTGGTTCTTAGGAAGGAGAAAGGGATCAAGTGAATGTAAAAGCTACCGGGGCATGGGCAGAAGGGAGCTGAACGCCATTGGCTTGGGTTAGTATGTTTCCCAAAATGGTGGGGGACTCTTCTTCCTGATGGAAGAATTCTCCTTCTTCACACCCTCAAGGAAACTGAAAATAGATTGTGGCGGCTTACCTGAGACTGAAGCCCTACAAATAAAAGTGCCTCCCATTGCAGACGTGTGGGCCACCGTGGGGACTGGAGCCAAGGGGTGGGGCCCCTGAAAACCCCAGAGCAGGAAGTTCACAGACGGAGATTCGAAAATCATGTGGAACGCAGCACTGGGTTCCCAAGGCCACTCGTGGGCCTGAGGGACATACTGATGTACATTGAATTTCACTAGAATAATACACTAAAGAGAATATCTGCAATGCGTTAAGCACCTTAAATTAGGAATAACAGGAACTTCTTGTAACTTCAGTTTCCTCATCTGTAGAATGGTCCTAAGGATAGGGCCTGCTTCCAAGGGCTATTCTGAGGATTAAATGGACTGATGCAGAGGAGACGCTTGGCATTGAACTTGGCTGGGGTAGGTTCTTCAGTTGATGGCCTGGAGAGTCCAGTTCATTCCCTGTTACCATCCTTACCTGCTAAAAGCATACGCATCTCTGCTCCAGCAATTTCAGGGAGATACTAAGAAATTTGTTTCACTTTCTTGCAGGGATGCTTGGCATAAGAGACTCCCTGCCTTGAGTCTAGAACTGGACTAGGGTCTAGACTGTTCTTTGTGTGCGGCAATGAATAGTCACAGCCCTGACTCCCCCCTCTCCCAGCTGTGGGATCCCAGGCAGGTCCTTCATCCCTCTGGGTCTCAGTTTCCTCATCTGTAACAATAGGCTAGTAACCCTCACTACCGCCCAGCACCAGGCACTGTGTGAGGCAGAATGAAATAGCGTATGAATTGTCAGCAAACACTCCATCATGGGCATCTGGTCGCCAACCCCCTCCTCCTGGGGTCCCCTCAACCCCCAGGAAGCCCTCATGTGTGGCTCAGTTTCCACGTCATGTTCCTTTCTTCTTCCTTTATAGGTCCTCGCATGGGGGTAATAAAATCTGGGGCTCTCCATCTGCTCTTTGCTTTACTTCCCATTTCATTTTTCATACCCTGGGCTGTTTGTTCAGTCATTCATTCATTCATCCATTCGCTCACTCATTATGTACACGAGTTGTTGTGCTAGGCCCTGGGGGTGGGGGGCAGTGGTGAACGAGAGGGATATAGCTCCTCCTGTCATGGAGTCTCCATTTTCAGCGATTAAATCAAGCATCCAATTAAATTTGTACTTATCAGCTGCTATGAGGAAGGAAGAACACAGGGGCTCTTCTAGAGGTCACGGGGAACCTCACAGCAGTGATACTTGAGTGGCTTTCTGAGAGATGCTGCGGGATCACTTGGGGGGAGGCCCAGGTGAAGGGGTCGGCATGGGCGCGGGGCCTGCAGGGCGGGAACATTGTCTGGGTGAAGTTGGCCGTGAGAGAGCCCAGCAGACCCCGAACTGGAGGCCTTGGCCGGGCCAGGCCGTTAGGGCCTCGCAAGGCACAGTTGGGAAGGTGACCTTTATCCTAAAGAAGTCTTTGCCCCTTGAAGCTTTCTAAGCAGGTCTTCATGAACAGCTCATGTAAGAGCCTCCTTCAGTGTCCAGGTGAGGGTGGTGACGCACTGCTGCACCCAGCGGCGCCTTTCATCACACGCTAGAGGAGCCACTCACGACGTGCACTTGGCGAGACCAGAGTCCTCGTGTTGATACAGAAGAAAGTCACAGAGGGCAGGACCGTGTGTCCCGGAAGCTTGGGTGGGGCCCAGGAGCCTTTGCCGAATCACCGCCTGTCACAGTCATGATGCTGGTGGTATGGGCGGCTCAGAGGAACCCAGGGAAAACCTACTGTGTGCCCAGCAGGTCCAAGTTCATGCTCCCAGCTGATCTTCTGAGTGCCCTGTGGACCAGAGTGGGAGTGCCCTGTTGTCCAAAGAAAGCAAAGAGGGTTGGGCACTGGTGAGGGATCTGCCCAGGATCCCGAGGCTCCTACGTGCCAGGTTTGGGGCAAGGTCTGTACTTCCTGCCTCTAGGTAACAGCTGGGAGAGCACGTCCCTGTTTCCAAAGCGCTTTGGACGGCAGCACCCGGTCAGGAGGTCCTGGCGCCAGGAGAACCTCCCTGAGGTTGTGACTTCTGAAGCTCACGTTGCCTGCTCCTGCCGCCTAGCCCAGGCCCCGTTCATCGCTCCCCAAGCTCCCCAGGCCTGGGGACAGTGGGTGACCTTACTAGGGACGGCTCTGCTCCCATGCATATCCCCCCTGTGTCTCCCCCCGCACCTCCAGTTTATCTCTCAGGCCTTGGGTTGAGGCAGGGCCGTTCCCTGTAAATACCAGTGCCCTTACATGCGCATTTTTCCTCTATGATTTTTCCTGTTTTGATGAAACACTGCTCTTGGCTGTGCAGGTTCCCAGGAGGGAGCTGGGGCCCTGACCCGGCCAGCCAGTCGTTCAGGAACTTTGCTCCCAGGCCCAGCCCCACACCCAGCCCGCATTCCACCCGGCCAGAACCTTAACCCCCCTGCCCTGTGCGAATGGGCTGCCCCTCCCCCACGCCCAGCCCCCGTGGTTCCCATGGCCACCTCCTTAGCGCCTTTCCCAGCTGACTGAAAAGGCTGCATTCCGGCCCCCAACTAGCCTGACCCTCTCTGCCTTTCTTCCTGACTGAGGGGTGTGCGACTTTACTAGGGCTCACGGTCTGAGCCCCCTGCATCCATCAAGGCCTGCTCACATACAGGCTGCCTGTAGGGAAAGAGTCGGGTGGTACCTTAGCCCGTTCATTGACTTGTGTGTTCAGCAAACACACGAATTACCTACTGTGTGCCAGGCATTGTTCCAGGCCCTGGGCATGGAAAGCGTGAAAATAAACAAGCGTCTCAGAGGTGACAGCGACATCTGCCCGCCCAGTGAGGCCCAGCGGCTCTCCTTGGCTCCACTTCGCAGGTGGGGAGCACTTGGGCAGGTTTCCAGGGGCTCCTGGCTGCCTCTCTGCCACCTCTGGGGGGAGTCATGTTAATAAGCCCCTTGGGTGGGGCCCCTGGAGCCAGATACAGCCCTCAAACCTCCTCTGACCGAGTGCGGGCAAGACTCCAGCCCTCACCCCTGCCTCGGCCAGGTGTCCTTGGGCAGGACAGCCTGCCCAGCTGGACACGGTGGCCTCGCCAAGACCATAGCACGGCCAGTAGGTGGTGGTTCCTGGATGTGGGAGCCTGATTCCTCTTACCCCAAGGCCAGTCCTTTGGGGTTCTTTCCTGTTGGTTGGCTAGGTTATGTCTGCCTCTGTCCCCAAGGTGTTCCTTGCCTTGCAGCAGTGCTGTGCCGCGGGCCTTGTCTTCATCCCACAGCTCTGCCAGAGGTGCTGTTCACGGTGTTTGTCCTGAGTAATTACAAGTTTTTAATCTTACCTTTGACGCACATTTACCCACCCCATTCTCCTACATGTTTGTTCATTACTTATTCATTCTTTCAACCAACAGCGTTTATTCACGGCCAGGCTCCTGCACGCCAGGGAAGGGAGAGACAGGTGAAGCAGACTCGTCCCTATCCTCAGGTGGACGAGGACAGGGTCCCCCTGCTGTGTGCGGCAGTGGGGCTGGTACTCCGAGGGGGGAGGCATGCCGACCTGCCTGGCCCTTCATGCTGGTGACGGGCAAAGCTAACCCCGAGGAGCGGTCTCAGGGCACCTGCATGACCATCTTGCATCTTTTAACTGACTTCATCACGACCATTGCTGTGAGGTGGTATAGGGTCTGTTGCTATGAACGCTGTATGTTTCAGGAGCTCGGCCTTCCCTGGTGGTCTGGTGGAGGAGTCCGTACCCTCAGTGCAGGGGGTATGGGTTCTGTCCTTGGTCAGGACACTAAGACCCTGCATGCTGCGCAGCAAGGTCATGAAACCATAATCATAAAAAATAAAGTGAAACCCACCTGATTCTTAAAATACATTGGGAGCTAGATAATTACCCAGGGACACCTGGCTAGTGGCAGAGGCAGGGTTGAACCCAGGCTTCCTGGCCCGCCAGTCTGGGCCCCAACTGCACCAAGCTGCATGACTGTGAACTTGTCACAAAAAGAAATGGGAACAAGAGTTTGCGAATTACAGAACTGCGGAAGAAGCAGGCTGCCCCGAGGCTCGTATGGCAGAGTTGAGACCAGCTTGGGTGGGAGCTGGTGCCTCGTGTGGGGCCTGAGCTCAGGTCGGGGGGCGGGCCCAGGCTCAGGCCCTTCCAGACCGAGAGACCCAGAGTGATTTTGGGTGAGCACGGAGCCAGGGTGTGGGCCGCACCCGTGTGTCTCACTGAGCGCAAAAACATGTTCCGGAGCCAGACCCTGAGTTCCAGTGTTTGGAGCCCTGCCTGAGGGCCTGGGCCGGTGCTGTGTGGAGGAGGAAGGGCCTGGCCGGGGCAGACGGAGGCCGGACCAGCCTGGGCCGGAACCTGGCGCCATCGCTGACCGCCGGGGTCACTCCGGGTGAGGGGGTCCGCCCTCCTGGGCACTCAGTGCCCTGCTGAACGGCCACTGCCGAGGACAGTAGAGGCCTTCGCCTGCCCGGCTGGGGCCTGCAAGACCCGCCCTCCCCCGGCATCACTGCGCTCATCCGGGGCCGTCTGCTCCCCAGGCCCCAGCCGGGCGGGCACTGATGCTGCTGACCACTCGATCGCGCTCCCCGCTCCCCGCTCTCCCTGCCACTTGGAGGCCCTTCCCGGTCTCGGTCTCAGCATGGCCAGCTCGCCCTCTCTGCCCAGGTCTCTGCTCCGAGGCCCTGCCCTGACCCCTCCGCCTTGCAGCGTCCCCGTGATACTCTCCCATCACCCCGTGTGCTCCTTTGTACACCTGGCACGCTTCAGGACAGCCACGTCCCTGTTCTGTCCATCCCCTCCGCGAGAACGCCCGCTCCTCAGCTCATGTGCCTTGCCTGTCTTCTTCACTCCCGTTTCTCCAGCACCATCAGTGGTCCTTGGCACTTGTGGACACTAAATGTTTGTTAGCTAGATGAATGAGCCTCGGTTTCCTCACCTGTAAAATGGGAAGGAGCTTGCAGATCTGATAAAGGCGGTGTAAAGATTAGAGCATGTTTAGGTTAAGGTGCCTCATGCAGACCTCACACTCATAGTAGGCACTCAGGATGTGCTATGACCCAGGTATGAATGAATGTCCATCCTACTTTAGGCTCCAGGGATGCTGCATAGCTAGGTTTTTTTGACACTACCAGGCCAACTTGGTGGTCACCAGCTCTGAAAATGAAGGTAATGGGTGAGGCAGAAGGAGGTGAAGGAAGGAAAGAAAAAAGAGGAAAAATGGAAAGGAAGAATGCCTGGGTTGTGGACTGTTTTCCATTGGAAATGTAGAAAGAGATGATTTCTCTCAAGGCCAGCTTTGCCTCCTGGAAAGTTTATAAATTTCTGCCAAGATACACACACACACACACACACACACACACACACACACACACTTTTAAGACCAAAAGAAAAGAGGGAGGGCATAGGTAGTTTCAATTAATAAATGTGGAAATTACAGAATTTAAAAGCCACCATTAAAACCCCACAGTGATAATTGTTTCAGTTAAAATCTGCTAATGGATGCTAGAATTAGTGGGTGAAAGTTTAAGTAGAGAAAATATTTTACTAGTCTCAGAGTATCTCCCCCCAAATATTTAGTAATTATGAAGTGGGAAGTAGTAACGGCCAAGAGAATCCTGCAGACCTCATCTTAGCTGAGTGATCGAGGCTAACAGCACGGGTGATAAGACATACGGCCTCACATCCCCAGTGTAGGGCTCTCAGGAGAGGATAGCACTGTGGGATTCGACCCAGAGGTGCACAGCCTGGCTTGCATCACTGGAAGATGTCAGACAGTCCTGGTTTGAGAGGTATTTTATAGCGTAAGTGGCAAACCCTCTTCAAAAGTGTCACAGTCATGATGAACAAGGAGAGATTGGAGACTAAGGAGGATCCTGGATTGGATCCTCGACCAGATGAAAAAGGACATTAGTGGAAAAACTGGTAAAATCCCAAATAAGTTTGTCTTTTCCTTAGTGGTATTGTACCAAGGTTCATCTCCTAGTTTCAAGAATTCTTCTGTGGTTCTCTCTGGTTCTGTAAGATGTAACATGAGGGGACACTGCTGAAGACTGTGTGGGAACTTTCCCTACTGTCTATGCACTTCTGTTAAGGTTCAGATGATCACAAAAACTTGAGAAGGATGACCTAGTTAGAGGGGGAGAGTAAGGAAGTGTGGCAGGAAAAATCTAACGGAGACTTTGTTACGTGCTCAGCTGTGCTTGTCTCTTTGCAGCCCTAGGGACTGGAGCACATCAGGCTCCTCTGTCCATGGGATTTTTCAGGCTAGAATGCTGGAGTGGGTTGCCATTTCCTACTCCAGGGAATCTTCCTGACCCAGAGATCAAACTTGTGTCTCTTGCATCTCCTGGTCTGGCAGGCAGGTGCTTTACCTCTGTGCCACCCAGGAAACCCAGAGACTTTGTTATGGCTGTGCAAAATGAGTGTGCATTTGCAGAAATGCCTGGTGATGGTGACCTGAGTTCTAAGGCGCAGAGGTAGAAACCATTCTATTGAAAAAATCCTGGGTCCATGAAGAGTTCTTCACAGCTGGTTGGCTGACTGGCCTTGATGTCAGACTGTAGAAAGCCACGGTAGGACTCCACAGATTTGGGAAGTTTTTAGCAGTTTTGTCAAATTTATACCACTCCTGGGCCATTCTGACACCTTTTGCCATATCTACTTCTACCCATACTATTATGAACTTTCTATTTTATTTATATGGACTTACTTTAAAGATTTAAACAGATGAGTTAAAAACAAAAGTTAAGACCAACATCATCTGCTGTGATTGCAAAATATCCATAAAATTCAAAGCTGTGAATTTCAAAGAAAATTTGAGCTCAGGGCTGTTGCTGGCCGAAAGTTCTGAGCCTGAAGCCTGTTCTTGGATTTATTATAAAAGTGAGATTATGAGGTGTTAAAGCTCCACAGAACCAGAACGAGACTCTCTTCTGGTCTCGTTCAGGAGACTGATGGAGAAGCGGAGTGGAGGGAACTCCCTCCCTGGGTGACTTGCCCCCTGTGTCGGTTCCACCTAAAACCATCTCACTCGGGACTGTAGACGCTGCCCTGGAGCCACCTTGCTCTTCCTGAAGGGCGGGCACCCCAGGCCCGAGCTGGCCACACCGTTAAGGTGTGCAGCCAGGAGACCTCTTTCTTCCGGCCCCAGGGATTCGGGTCTGAGCATGAGCGCCTACGTCTGAAGCCACCTCCTCTGACCAGCTGTCCCTCATCTACCCTCGGCTTCAGAGCATGCTGGCTTTAAAAAAAAAAAAAAAAAAAGCAGACATCCGACTTTCTTGGAGATACTAGAATTATTCTCATATTACATTATTGTTCCTTTTTAATTCCAAGACCCGAGCTCTGTTGCATTGAGGTGGTACCTGCTATGTCACAGAGCTGTGTGGAGTTCAGCGGAACAGGGCTCTTAGTCACTTTTGACATCGACCCTATGTAAGAAATACAGTTTATAAGGACCTCCCTGGCAGTCCAGTGGTTAAGACTCTGACGAGGGGTTGAGGGTTCAATCCCTGGTTGGAGAAATGAGATCCCACGTGCTGCGAGGCATGGCCAAGAAAAAGAAAGGCATTTTATGTCACAGCCCAGTGGACAACATGTGAGGACAGCGTGGCAGTGATTCCTCTGTACTGCAGTGCAAAAAGGTACCTTTTACTTCATTTTGTGTGTGTGCTCAGTCACTTCAGTCCTGTCAAATCCTATGCACTGTAGCCCTCCAGGCTCAAAGCTCCAGCCCTCCAATTTTTTAATATTGTAGCATTTTAAAAAATTGTATTTGTTTATTTGGCTGCACCAGATCTTTATTAGTTTCGGCATGTGGGATCTAGTTCCCTGACCATGAATTGAACCTGGGCCCCCTGCATTG